TGAATGAGATTATATATTATGATGAGTAACGTAGTTTTGAATAAGTGGTGTTTGATATCTTAATTCACAAATTGTTGCTGTTAAATGTTTTAAATAATAGATAATCATACCATTTTTATGAATAATGCAACTATAAAAATGTCGATTAAGGAAGTATTTAAATTTAATAATTTTCATACATTTGTTTATACTTTATATACTATTACAATACTCGTGTATTACACAGGTGTAGAATTAGAAATCTTTTGTAAAAAATATTAAATTTTTTATATTTTTATAAAAACTAAAATAATTTAATTTTATATATAATATTACTTTGGGTTCTAATTAAATTGTCTTTGTTATATTTTTTTAATCATAATAATTAAACACTCGTACATTAAATGACAATGTCAACCTGTATTGAACTTTTTTACTTATATCATATAAAAATATCAATATTATTTACTATTACATAAATGCAAAAAAATATATCTTAAATAAATAGAAATAATATGGTGGGGATGCCTTGAGGATTCGGTATCATCTTCTTAAAATATGTATATACATAAGTATAATATATATTTATTTAATATTAAACAAAAATAGATTTATTTTTTTACTTAATTTGATGCCTAATACATCAAGTGTTGTATCAGTCGTGCTTCACAGTTTTTTAACTTTATACGTAAATTTAGAATTTATATAAATAATTATTTATTTTTATTACATTGACAACATATCAATTAGATTTGAAATAAATATCATTTTTAAAAGAATACATACCAATTTCTATTATTTTATAATATAATTTATAGTTTTATTTGATATAATTTAATTTAGTTTGATAAATAAATTTAAATTTTATTTATAAGGATATATATTACTGTTTTGTATTATATATATAAATAAATAGGAAAATACAAACGGACTTCATAATATCAATTCAAATGCAACACATTAATTAAGATTTTTTTTTTCTTGACAATATTAACTCTATTTAATGGATGTTATGAAAAACGATGGAGATGGGATATGAAGAGACATTGTGTATTAGATGGATAGTTAAAAATGAAAAAATATGAACAAAATATCTAAAATGACATTTATTTTATCAATGATCAATTAAGCCAAAGTGACAAATAATAAAAAAAGGGAGTATATATTTTTATATATTTTAGTATAATACATGTTACTTGTGCAACTTATATGTGTTATATTATAATAAATTTTCTACCTTATAACATATAACTACATTAAACATTATATTAATTGATATAATTTTATTTTCTAATTAATTTTAATAAATATTTTTTTTATTATTATAAAGATTGTAAGAAACTGGGAAAAATATATTATGTTATTCACAAAGAGGAGTACACATATATATAGATACATAGATGGGCTTTAGCCTAAACTGGACCTAAACCTAGCCTATAATACAATCTTAATATTTACATGTTTAACACCCCCCCTCAAACTCAAGGTGGTATCGTGGAGATCAACTTGAGTTTGCTAAGAAGTAAACAAAAGCGACCGGGAAGGAGAGACTTCGTGAATACATCCGCTGGTTGATCCGTAGAAGAGACGGAAACAAGCTTCACAGTCCCATGTGCAACATGCTGTCGAATAAAGTGACAATCAATCTCAATATGCTTGGTGCGCTCATGAAAGGTATCATTATGAGACATCTTTATAGCACTCTGACTATCACAGTGTAAAGCAGTAGACGACGACTGAGGGGCACCAAGATCAGCAAGTAGGCGACGTAACCATAAGAGCTCAGAGGTGGAATCAGCAAGAGCGCGGTACTCAGACTCAGCACTCGATCGGGAGACTAAGGTTTGCTTCTTACTACGCCAAGAAACGAGGGAATCACCCAGAAAGAAGCAGTACCCAGTGATGGAGCGACGATCAGTAGGATCTCCAGCCCAATCTGCATCAGAATAGCCGCTAAGTGTCAAGGAAGAACGGGCTGAGAAGTGTAAATCATGCAATAGAGTGCCCTTCACATAGCGAAGAATGTGCAACACAGCAGAATGATGTGCGGTCCTCGGAGCAGCCATAAACTGACTCACAATATGAACAGCATGCGCTATATCAGGCCGAGTGACAGTCAAATATATCAAACTCCCAACCAGCTGACGAAATAAAGTAGGATCCTCAAGAAGAGAGCCATCCAGTGGAGTAAGACGAACATCATAATCAAGAGGTGTAGAAGCTGTCTGACAATCCGTGAGACCGGCCCGAGCAAGAAGATCAGAGGCATACTTGGCTTGAGACAAATAGAAGCCATCAGAGGAATCAGAAATCTCAAGACCCAAAAAATAGCGAAGCTGGCCCAAACTCTTCATCTCAAAATGCTGACGAAGATAGTCCTGTAAATCGGAAATACCAGTAATATCATCTCCCGTGATGATCATATCGTCAACATAGAGTAGCAAAATAATAATCCCAGAGGAGGAGCGCCGAAGAAACAAAGCAGAATCGTGATCACTCGTAGTGAAACCAAACTGAAATAATGCAGAACTGAACGTGGAATACCAGGCACGAGGGGCTTGTTTCAAACCATACAAAGCTCGACGTAGACGACAAACCTTCCCAGAGGACAAGGACCCAGGAGGGGGAGTCATGTAAACCTCCTCAGACAAGGCACCATGCAAGAAGGCATTCTTGACATCTAACTGTAGAAGAGACCATCGACGAACAGCAGCAACAGAAAGTAAACATCGAACAGTAGTAAGACGAGCAACCGGTGCAAAGGTCTCTTCATAATCGATGCCGTACTCCTGTGAATACCCCTTAGCAACCAGACGAGCTTTGTAGCGCTCAATAGAACCATCTGAATTTGTCTTGATCTTATAAACCCATTTGCATCCGATAGGTTTCTTTCCAGCAGGTAGATCCACCAAATCCCAAGTATGAGTCTTGTCCAATGCCTGCAACTCATCAGCCATAGCTTGTTGCCACAATGGATCAGCACTCGCCTCACGAAAAGATCGAGGCTCATGATGAGATAGTATGGCTGAATAGCAATGATAGTCAAGTAAGTGAGAAGGGGGACGACTTACACGAGTTGATCGTCGGTGATCAATGGTAGGTGAAGGGACAGAATCAGAAGAGGTCTCAACAGGGAGCGACAGGTCAGGATGCGCAGGTGGAGCCACTTCAGAAGACGGAGGCATGACAGGCGTGTCAATGAGCTGTGAGTCAGGACAAGTATCGGGAAAGAGATCCGAAGTAATGGTCATGAAGAAAGGGGATGACGAATCAAATGGAATGTGAAATTTAGACAAAGAAGAAAAAGTAGTATGCTCCCAAAAGGTAACGTGACGCGAAATGCGCAACCGATTAGCAATAGGATCCCAACACCTAAACCCTTTGTGTTCTACCCCATAACCCAAAAAACAACACAAACGAGCGCGAGGTTCTAATTTGTTCCGCTCATGGGATGGGAGAAGAACAAAGCAAGCACAACCAAAAGGACGTAACTGAGTATAATCAGGCGACTGACCATGCAACCTCTCAAAAGGACTGATATCGCGAAGAACTGATGAGGGTAACAAATTGATAGTATAAATAGCAGTCAAGGCTGCCTCACCCCAAAAACGATCAGGACACTGAGCAGAAAGAAGAAATGCACGAACAGTATCAAGAATGTGACGATGCTTACGTTCAGCTCGTCCATTTTGTTGAGAAGTATAAGGGCACGAACGCTGAACTACTGTGCCCTGATCAGAAAGAAAGTTTAAAAAGGTAGAATCTTTGTACTCAAGGGCATTGTCAGTACGCAAGACCTTTATCGGACAAGAAAATTGTGTGCGAATCATTCTAGCAAATTGAATATATATGGTGGGCAACTCAGAACGATTTTTAAGAAAATAGATCCAGGTAAAACGAGAGAAATCATCAACAAAAATAACAAAGTACCGAAAACCATTCATAGAAGCAACCGGAGAAGGGCCCCAAATATCAGAATGTACCAAATCAAAAGGTTTATCAACAGTTGATAAATTCTCAGAAAAAGAAAGAGCCGAGTGTTTCCCAAGCTTACAATGAAGACAACTAAAAGACTCAAAATGACCTGGACCTAAAAGACCTTTATTATATAAAGAACGAACTTTATTTGAAGACGCATGCCCAAGACGAAGATGCCACTGAAAGCTGGACTCATTATCGGTGACAGGAGCAGAAAATGAGGAAGGACGAGGAATACGAAGAGACTCAAGCTCAAATAACCGGCCCATCTTGCGACCCGTCCCGAGAAGCAGACCCGTCTGCGTATCCTGAACCTGAACACCAGAAGATGAAAATATAACATTAAGACCTTGTTCAACCAATTGACCAACAGAAATAAGATTCAAGGCTAAATCAGGAATGCAATATGTGTCAGGAAGGTGTAAAGAAGGGGAAGAAACCAGACCAGTGTGAGTAATATTCATACGGGTACCATTGGCAGTATGTATAGGAGGTAAAGAAGTGACAGAAGACGAGGAAGACAAAAACTGTGCACTAGAGGTCATGTGATTGCAACAGCCAGAATCAAAGTACCAATGAGGATTACCTGCGGTAGCAGACATAGCAGAATTGGAATGGATAACCTGTTTGAGAATAGCCTCTATGTCTTGAAGAGTGTAAGACGAGTGCTGAGGCTCATTAATGACAGCCGCTGTAACCGAAGAGGAAGGAGTCGATGAAGAAGACCCACGAGACCCTCGAGATCGAGAAAATGAACCTCCCGAACGTTGGGACTTCGCTGGACAGTTTGGAGCAATATGCCCCAGAGCATGACAGATGTGACACTCCACCTTAGAACAAGTGGAAAAATGGTGACTAGAACTCTTGCAAAGTCGGCAATAAACACGGGCAGGTGAC